ACCGCGCAGCCAGGACTTCAGGGGTTTCCTCTTTCCCTCTCTGCCTGCCTGACTCAAGCATGTATGTCTTCAGGCAGGCATGTATTCTACCCTTCAACCATTATGTACTGAGTATCTACTAGACGCCAGGCACCAGGTTAGAGCCTGGATATACGTGAGGATCAAAAGGGACACAGTGCCTACCAGTGTGGCATTCATAATCTAGTAACTTCCGTGTTAGTGTTGCTGAACACTGTCTTCTGTCAGGGCCCAGACAGAAGTAGAAACGGGAGGAGGGAAAAAACTTAAATACAGAAACTGTTCAGTGCTGAGTTCACAAAATGGAGGCTGCGTGGTTACGGCTGAATAAACATGACCTTTTCTTAGGTGACCTATGCTGCTCCTTCACCAGTTTCCTTTTCCAACATGGTCTCTCTTCCTGAGCATGGAATCAATGAAACAGGCTAGGTGAAAGGAAATGAAAGAAACATAGAAGGAAACGTCCCGCCATCAACAATATTTGCCTTATTACCTTTAGCCATGCTTAAATGCAACTGGTTACAGATTACTAATTATTTTATCTTCAATATTTATTTTACCCTAATCTTACGTATTAATATAAGTACTTTTAGAAGCAAAGGGTTAATAACTAGGACATTGCCATACTATCATTTTCACATAAACTTTACCTATAAAATGTTAATGCACCAACCATTATTCTTGATCATGTGGAATGTATAGCATAGGTGATTGAAAATAAAAATTATATTTAATTCTTAAAAATCACTTTAGCCTGTAGATTCACCCTGCCCCCTTACCAAATACCAATTTAAACTGTGAACAGAAAATAATAAAATAAACTGTCCAAATTAGGTTTTAGCTCTATTTCTTTTAGCTAGAAATAAATTAGCAACAAAATGACAGCCTTACTTTTTACCCCTACTCCCTCCACCACAACAGGAAAAGTAGATAATTCACAAATTATCAGCTAAAAATATTTGTAAGTCAATTCTTATCCTAAAAGAAAGTGCCTAACTTCTTGTGAAGGGCCGAAGCTTTCAGAGAAATTTCTGGAATTCTTCTTTGTCTCATTTTTGTTAGTTTTTCTGGAGAAAAAAAAAACCTAGAATTTTTTTAAAGCATTCATTTCATAAAAAAGATAAGTACAATCACTTTGAAAAGCCAAGAATTGGTTCAAAATTCTCGTATGTATTTTAAATCAATATTTTACAAAATACCAGATCTTCCCAATATCTACGGGCCCTATAATAGATGACTTTCAACTAAAATTTGTATTTATAGTAAGAATATTTAAGATTTAATTAGTTAAAGTTTAAATAAAATGATATTTGCAAAGCCTCCAGGAGAAATCAGTACACTGCATAAAAGTTAACTATTAATACAGAGGAAGCAATTTTTTTAATCTGTGGGATCTCCCACATTTGTGTTTTCTCTTTAGGAATCCTCAGGCACTTATAAACCCAAACTGAAAACAATGCTGTGGCAGGCATTGAAAAATGACATAATTATGATTGAACTCTAATCCTTAAAGACTATTAAAGAAACATGCTTCTAATCAATACACCTGAGCTTTAAGTTTTTGCTGTATTAATTCCTGCATAGAAATTTAAGAAGAACTTGTTTTATTCCTCTCCAGGTGATAAAGTCATCCCGCTCTTTACTCCTCAGTGTGGAAAATGCAGAGTTTGTAAAAGCCCAGAAGGCAACTACTGTGTGAAAAATGAGTAGGTTTCTGATGCTCTCTTTACACAGACTTTGAGTTTGCACATTAGTTATAATCCTGTCTCAAGCCTTTGTGTGTCTGTATATTGCACTGCCCAGTCTGAGCAATCCTCGGGGGACCCTGCAGGATGGCACCAGGAGATTCACCTGCAGGGGGAAGCCCATTCACCACTTCGTTGGCACCAGCACCTTCTCCCAGTACACGGTGGTGGATGAGAATGCAGTGGCCAAAATTGATGCAGCCTCGCCCCTGGAGAAAGTCTGCCTCATTGGCTGTGGATTTTCGACTGGTTATGGGTCTGCAGTTAATGTTGCCAAGGTGGGAATGACAATGGATAACAAAACTGCTTACATGCAGACTGTCAGGACCCAAAAGTGAAGCAATTTCTTGCAAGAATCATAGATTATTTTTGTAGACTTGAAGTGTCGATTATGAGTACAAAAATGACCCAGAAAGAATTGAGAGCGCATGCTAGAAATTTCACCAATTTATTGCAGATAAAAAGTTGTTAAGAGTAAAGATGTCGTTTACAATAATTTTTCCTCTGAATTTGCTGTTTATGGGAGCATGAAATTTTAGGCCTGAGAACTCATGTAGTAATTCATTCAACAATTAGAGAGCACCTATACAAGCCTCAGGCACCAGAGTTTCTGCTAGGTTCTGAGATAGCAAAAGTAAATGAAATGAAGCATTTGCCCTTGAGGAGCATCTAGTCTGTGGATCCTCTACTCCCAGAATTAGGATCAACAGTAGAGTCCAAAACCTTACCTGATGCACTTACAAAGCAAGGCTCACCCACTCTGGATTCTTAGACGGAAAGTAATGAAGCTTCAGTGATGCGTAATTCACTCATTAAGGGATTTCACTGCTGAAACGAACTCCCCTGCCTTGATCACACACATATATTTCAGAAGTGGTAAATTTCAAGCAGAAATTCTTTAAAGGCTCCTCATCTGAGTAGGCTGAAAATCTAGTAGTATCTTTATTTCATGAAACAGAGCTCCAGAGTTATAAAGATATATGCCCAAAGTCTCAGTGCTGAGACTAAAATATCTTTTTAATATGAGAGCTGAGATTAAAATATCTTTTTCAAATCTCCTGCTGAATCTTAGCTCGCAATACATCATTATTAGTGTTTTAAAATCACAGTCATAAGTCTTGTATTTTTCTAAGTGAAGTATAAAATGGTGTTGTCCGCATAGTATGAATAACACTTGGTGAATGAATGAGTGAATAGACACCCTTAAGGGAATATAAGGATGAGATTACTTGGGACAGGAAAGCATGTTACCCACAATGAAGACTGACTGTGGGAGACTAGGTTTAATAAATAACCACTAGCCAATCAAAAAAAAATTCAGAAAGCATCTTTTCTAAATTTCTGACTTTAGCACTTAGTCCCTTGTTCAGTTGCCTCATCTGTGTTAGCAGGTGGTTAAAGAGAGCCTACCCAAGACAGAAGATGAGGCTACTCATAACAGTAGATTGTATTTATTATTGACATATAGACAAATGTTTCATTGCTGTGTTGTTCGCTAGTGTATTTTTAAAGCAGGGATATACTTGTCACAACTCCTGAACATAAATGAACCAAGGCGTTAATTACTGAGGGTTTAAGTGGAATATTTTTCAGGCTCCTGGAGTAGCCTTTTCCACTAATTTTATTTTCCAAATATTGCCTTTGTGTATGTATGAGATATTGAAGCTCACTATCATGGGATTTCAGCAATCGAGAGTCCCTTCAAGATTGTAATCACTGCCATCTGGATCTCAAAGATCATCCAGTCCCCTGGTTCCCAGCCTGACCTTCCCATTGGAGTCACCTGGGAACTGAGTTCCACCTGCAGAGATTCTCATTTAATTGACATGGGCTGTGACCTGGACAGTGGGATGGTTTGTAAAGCTCCCCAGAAGAATCTAATATGCATCAGTTTGACAGCCACTCAACTAGTTCATCCCCTTGAATTTAAAAATAAAGCAACCGAAGTCAGAAGAGATTTTGATAAAAGGTTGGACAGAAGAGTCTGAGTAGCTCTTGATAAACACGTAGGCATGGCACTTTATAAAGCTTAGGCACTTTCTAACAATCATTACTTAATCCATTTTTGCATTTTCTGAAAACATAGGTCACCCCAGGCTCTGTCTGTGCTGTGTTTGGCCTGGGAGGGGTCGGCCTATCTGCTGTTATGGGCTGTAAAGCAGCTGGAGCAGCCAGAATCATTGC